TGTTCTCAATTTATAGGTTTGAAAGAAGTTAAGTATTTAAGTTTTAGAATATGAATACAGTATGTATGAATAGGAAAACTTCTTTCACTTGTTATAAAGATTAGAGCTTGTGGATCTAAAGAGTATTTATTGTTTTTGAAAATAATGTAAGATATATTTTTAGTTTTGCATATAATATATATATATGCATAGTATGAAAATAATTTAAAAAAAATAGGTTCAGTAGAGGTTTTTCTGATATTACTATAAAAAGTAGAAAATGGATAAGTAATTTTATATTTGAGTTGAAATTTGGATCTTTGAAGACTTTTAAGTGATTTGAATAATTTAATGTTGAAATCAATTTCTATGGAATTAGATGTGTCTAAGATGTTTTCTAGAATAGGTTAAGAAGATAATAAAATAGTAATATATTGTAAGGCAAAATAGATATGATATTTTTTGTAAAGGCAGATAGTAATAACTGGTTCAGTTAATTTAAAAACTATTTTTTAGATTACATGTTATTAAAATAAAGTTGATTGATAGAACTTTAAGAGTTTAGATATTATTATTATGAGTAACAGAACCAAACCTATTATTATATTTGGAGAGATAATTATCAAGATTAAAAAAATTAAGTTCAATATTGATAATGTTTGCTATTTTGTAAAATTATCTTTTAGAATAATAATTATGATATTTAAATAGTATAAACTATTTATATAATATTATTTTTATAAAAAATTTATTAAATATCTGGATCTTCAGACTATTTAAGAGTGTTCTAAGAAGTGTAGTATGTTTATAAAAACTAATTGGATATTTAGAAAATTTTTAATAGATATTATAAAAGTGAAAAATCTAAAGTAACTTAGCAGATTTTCCTAAAATGTCAATGAAAAAACTTGCAAAGACAGGTTTTAGCTTTTGTCTTTTTGTTTGTATCTTGGTAAGATTTTATTTGTTTATAATATATTATATATCAAAATGACTAACTCAGGATGCTTAATATTTTTCTAATAGATAGCAAAATATATTTACTTAATAAAATATTTAGAAAATTGGCAAAAATCAGAATTTTGGTTTTTAGAAGTTTCTCAGTAGCCAAGTATTGTAAAAACTTAAAACTTGGCTGTCTAGAAGAAAAAAAGTATGTTCAGCAACTTTACTTAAAAGAACAAGTAAGGTTTACTTAATAAGATATTGAGAAATAGTTAAATGTTTTTGACAAAATTTTAGTATAAGTGATCTATAGAGAGAGTTACCAGTTATTATATTAAAGCTAAAATTATCTTATTTTAGTTTATTTTATCTTCTGATGTTATTTCTTTTGTTAAACTATATGCTATAATAACTTTTAATTTTTTTTAAAAAATGAGGTTTATTATATATTTTCTTATTTTCTGTAATATTTTAATTCTTTTGAATACTTATTCTAGACTCTTTAATAGAACTAAGTTAAATGCTTCTTTTATATCTTGTAATAATATTTAATTTCTTTGTTTTTCTCTTAAATTTCTTTTATTATTATATTTAAAAAATGTATTAGTTGTTCTGTTGAGTTGTTTGATAGACTTGTATAATTTGACTTTTTAAATATTTATTTCTTTATAAATATTTTGAACAATCTTTTTGTTATTACTTTTGTGACTATTTTTCTAAAAATCTTAATTAATACAATTAGTTTTATATTATTAAAACTATAATCTTATTTAATATTTTTTGGAATTAAATATATTTGTACTATTTTTTACTTATTTGATATATTTTTTTTTCTAATATAAAGTCTACAAATATTTTAAAGATTTTTGTGTCTTTTTATTTGTACATTTGATTAGTATATAACTTATATCAAATATTTTTTAGGCTGTATTTATTTTGAATTCTCTTAATATTTTATTTTATTTTGTTTTTTTTTAACTCATTATATCATAAATTATTGAACTAATTTTTTGACTTATATATCTAGTAATATATTATTTAATAATGTAATGATAATTATTTTTTTTAATACAATCAATAAGAATTGAAAATTTAAGACAAATATAATCATATGTATTAAATATAAAAAATAGAAGGACACTATCAATAGAAGATGAAAAATTAGATATAAATTATTAAGTTAGTTTGTTAAGTTTTTAAAATTGCTAGTAATATGAATAATAATAAATTCAATAGTAATTAATTAAAGAATTAATTGATTAATTATAATGAATTAATTGAAAAAAACATTTATTTATTAAATTAATTAATTGCAACTAATTGAAAAAATAATAACCAACTAATTAATTAAAAAAGAAGTTAATGATTTGTTACACTACCCAACTATTGTACTAAAATTTCTATTCTTTGTTAATTGATTTTGTCAAAGATCACTCAAAATTTTACTAATGAAATTATAATTTTATGTAATTTTGTATAAGTTTTCAGTAACATGATTTTCATGTAATTTGTAAAAAACATGATCATATGCTCATATGATTGGTTGGATCATATGTACATCGATTTGGTCAGCAGAATCTACTGTAGTTCAACAATGCTAGCTAAGGTTTTCATAGTGCCGGTACTATATATCACGTGTGAAATTTACATGAAATCCATGTTACTGAAACTTACGTGAAATTACATATAAGTTTGTAAAATGTTTCAACCCACTCACTAAGTACAGAAGTAAAGCTGCCCAGATGATAATTTTGCTGTAATACTTAGTTGTTGTTATTTCTTAATACCGGCCTAAATCAGATGAAATCCAACCCGTAATTCGTGCCGATCTGCTGAATTTTGGTTGCGTTGCTAATATTAATGCATATGTAGTGTGATTTAATTTTTTTTACGTAATAAGTAATCACCTTGCCCATCTATCCAAAATTTCAGCTATTATGTACGTTGTATATCTATTATATAACGATAAGTTATAATTGTTAAATCCACCCTAATTTAGACAAGTCCGCCATACGTATGATATATCATATAAGCGGTGGTCAATCATCCAATAAAATTAAACATACATCTAGCCATATATAAATATGCACTATTGGATTTTTATTTGTATCATTACGTATAAAAAAAAAAATAATAATAATCATTATATAAATTATGATCTATGACGATTAAGCACATGCAGTGATAAGGTGCATGATACTTATCTATATGTGTAACAATATTAACGTAGTAAACTATATTCGAAGCGAGACCGCAAATACATTTTTTAAAAAGTTATTCAGCCTTAATTGACACCAAACTTGGTAAAGAAAAAAAGAAAAGAAATCTTAACATGTGTATAACATACAGTTTAAAAAATATATATTAAAATTTATATATACCAATTCTAAATACATTATTTAGTTGAAAAATTTTATTATGGTATGCGAAATCTGAAAACTTTCTTAAGAATGTAGTAAAGAGTGAAATGAAATATGTTAATATTGAAAAAAAAACATTTATTATTAAGCGTTAAATTTCCAAAAGTATTTTACTGATTTTTTATTATGAAGACTGCGGTACAATTTTTTTGATCAAAAAATCTATCATCATACAAAAATCAATTAGACTAGACATTTGTTTGATTCTATTAGATGATCGACAACCCCAACGTTTCAGCATTATTTGAGGCACACAATTTCAGAAAACTAATTAATTTGGGCAATACAAACAATAATTTATTTTTTGATGTTAAAAATCTGTCTAAACTTAATTCTTAATTTGGATCTTATGGAAAGACTTTCATATGATTGGCTGTTTAAATCTATTGGATTTCACATTATACAAGTTTAAAGTACTTTTTTAAAAAAATAAAATTACGAAGAGTAAATAAAAAAAAGAAGTAAATAGGAAGTTTTATTAGGGTTGTAGAACTTCACTACGTATTGTTGTGTTGAAAATAATCAAAATCCCTTTTTGTTTGAGAAGTTGGCATGATAATAACCTATTTTTAAAAAGTCGTTATTATGCTAACTTCTCTAAATCAAAAAGGGATTTTGATTATTTTCAATACAGCAATACGTAGTAGAGTTCTATAATTCCAATAAAACCTTCTATACATTTTTTTATTATTTATTCTTCGTAGATCTATTTTTTTTTTTAAAAAAAATATATACTTTAACCTATATAAATATGTAAAAATTCAATAGATTTAAACAGCCAATCAAATCTATGAACTTAGATTTTGAATCCAGATCAGATCTTACGTATAACTTCCCATATACGTATGATGAATTTAGCAGATCCGAATTCGATCTGTAAGTGGTTCCGAATCAGATCTGAGTTGAATTCAGATTTCAGGAAATTGTCTTGAAACAACGCCCTGCGGCGTTATTTCTCGCAAATTCGGTAATAGGATCATTACTAAATTTAATCAAATTTTTAATACGTATTTAATTTGTCCTGTAGGATATTTTTACTTAGTTCACCAAATGTAGTTAATAAAAAAAAAAGGGTTTGATATACGTAATAACTTTTTATATAATTTTTATCGTCATCGATTTCATATATAACTTTTTATCGTTATCGATTTCAAAAATTTAATCGGGCTTTACTTTTTCCGGTGGCTAATATTACGCATTATCATTTAAAGTTTATATTTCGGAATTGTACTCCCTTATATGAACATTCTTGACCATTTATTACTTGCTAACATTTCGAAGACTATATTAATTATCGATATGAATACATAAAATAATAACAAAAATAGTTTAAAACAAATAACAATAAGGGAAACTACGTATTGCATTTACTGTATTACGAATGATAAGAAAAATTAATAAACAATCGTAATAATCGTGATCTATTATTTGTGGCATAACCTAATCTAATTGTGTAATGGGCAGTTCATTGTGACAAAGTGAAATCGCTGCAAATGCCCAATTAATTTGTACCACATGAACATCATAAACGATTTGGTGATTTGATTACATCATGGTCGGTTATATTCTTAATTTGGTCATACTAGAAAATTTTATTTATTAGACACATTGTATCATCCCTGAATTTTCTTAATGCTTTGTCTGCATTAACTTACAATGAGCAAACCACAAACGCCAGTCAGTGCTGGAACAAATCGACTCGAAACGAACGCAAATACATCAATAAATGTGCCATCAGGTCGTAGTGTTAGGTATATACACATAATTATTATGGTATAGATTTTTATTCCTATCTTTAATCTTAATAACCTAAATATCATATTTGATAGTTTTTCTCCAGAACAAACATTACATAGAAATTATGGATCATTAGTCGAACATTTTCAATCTTTCGGTAGAGAGAATCTACATAATGAAAGTGAATTAAGCAAGAGTCATAGCCATATAATTGAAGATCCAAATTCATCTGAAGATGGATTTTTATATTCACGAAGAGGATCAACTTTTCCTCTACGATTACCACTAAATTCAAATACTCATTCAAATGCCCGTAGAATTTCACGTAATCATACTTATTCAACCACACCTGGTTCTTATTTAGCTTCCTTTTCTAGTGATAAAGTTCCTTGGAATGCTTTAAGACACTATCATGATAGCTTGTCGCCTACTTATGATGAGAATTTTGAAGATCCTGCTTTATTATCTCCAAATTATGATGATGGTGGTAGCATATCCAGTGTTATCATGGATGATGGTTCATTACAAAGAAGGAGAATTTCTTTAACTTCTGAGCATTCAAGGTTTGTTTCCAAAAAAGATGTCATAAGATTATATATGAATTTTAATTAAATATGATTTTAAAATATGATTATATATTTCTATTCAAAATTTAAATTTAAATAATTAGACAAAATACATTTTTTGAGGAAAATACTCCATTACTTAATAATTACAGTTCAGATTCCGATTCAGAACGTGTTGGTTCAGATAAACAAAATAGTTGCACGAATTCTTTCTCATCATACCTTCATCGAACTAAATCTTGGTTACAAACAAACTTATTAACTTTAAATCATAAAAATATTATCAAATGTGCTTTGGCTTATTTTCTTGCGTCATTATTGACGTATGTTCCTCATTTAAACGAATTTTGCGGCTTTGATAAATCATATAATTCGCATCTTGTAGCAACAGTTTCGGTATTTTTTGATCCAGCAAAATCATTCGGTGGTATATACGAAGCTGTTTTTTATGCAATCATAGGTGGTATATATGGTATGAGTGTTAGTGTTGGTAGTATGTTATGTGCTGTATGGTTCAACGAACATGATATGAATATTTTGGGGCATATCATCTCGGTCGTATTTTGGTGTGGAGGAAGCATGTTCATTGTTGCTTTCAGTAAAGCAAAATTAAATAAAGCATCTTTTAATAGTGGTAAGCTTACTAAATTGATTATTTAATATCTTACTCGATTATCTTAAATTTCTCACGTTGGATTATATATATATATATATGTATTTTTTAGCTTGTTCTTTGGCAAATATAATCATTTTCGTATCTATAACCAGAGAAGGTGGTCCATATATACAAACAGTCGAATTTGATTTAATTTTTCAAGTTACGAAAATAATCCTTTTTGGAGTATTAATTAGTTTTCTTGTTTCTGTGATAATTTGGCCTGTCAGTGCGAGCAAGAAATTAGGGTAAGCAATATTTAATTTTATACTAAACATTCATATTTTTAATTTTATGCTAAAATTTTATTATTATTATTTTTATTCGTCATTCCCTAACTATATTTTAAATTATCTTTAAAAATAAGAGATGATATTGGTAAAACTCTTGATTCATTTCGCCTCCTATTAAAACTTCTTACAAAAACTTTTTTAGTTGATGATATAAATTATACGGATAAATCTGTACAAACTGCTATTGAATCATATCGTAGAACTTTTACATCACTTCGTGAATCATTAAGACAAGCATCACTTGAGATACATAATGGAAATATGCAACAAAAAATTCATTTATATGGAGAAGTTGTAGAAAGTTTAACACGATTAGCACAACATTTAGGTGGTTTAAGAAGTTGTTGTGGACTTCAATGGGAAATCATAAAGGATTCTAAAGATAAAGATAAAACTTCTAATAAAAAACGAAATGGAAATGAATTTGAAAATGAAGAATCATGTGATTTAAAGGTCCTATTAGAACTTATTCATTATGTGGGTCCACCCATGAAATCTCTTGCTTACACTTGTAAACAAACACTTTTTCATCTTCAAGAACAATTTACTGAAACAGATAAATTAAATACAAAGATAAGACCTTCATTTACAGTATTAAGACAAAATCTTCATTCGGCTTTAGAATTATTTGAAAAATCACAATCTCGTGCACTCACTAAACTTTATAAACAAAGGACAGCAAAAAGTTATTTCGATGATAGACCTAATGAAGAAGTATTTCTCATATATTTTTTTGTATTCAATTTACAAGAATTTACTAGAGAATTATCTTATTTGGTTGATTTAACTTATAATATTTCAAGAATTGATGCAAATGAACAAAAAAGACGAGAAGGAAGGAAATGGTGGCAATTTTGGAGATATTCTTTTTGGCTTTCTCGAGATACTTTATATACTGATAGTGCGAAAAATAAATTTCCTGAAAATACACATAACCTTTTTGATACAATTCATACACCAAAACCTAAAACCCTTCCACAAAAAATTGCTATTAAACTTTGGCAATCATTCTCTTGGTTTCGACAATTTGAAGTTAAATATGCAGTTAAGGCAGCTGTTAGCGCTGCTATTTTGGCAAGTCCCGCGTTTATTGAATCAACAAGAGATATATACACTAAATATCGAGGTGAATGGGTTTGCATTACGGTAAGTTAATTAATAATTAGTAATTAATTAATAAGTAATTGGTAATTAATTAGTAATTAATTAATAAATAGTAATTAATTAATCTCATTTTATAATTTCTTTTAGATGATGGTAGTCATGGTTCCAACAGTAGGTGGTACAAACCTTATGGGAATATATCGACTTTTAGGTACATTATTAGGATGTTATCTCGCATGGATGAGTTATTTATGGTTTCCTAATAGTCCAATTATCCTATCTTTACTTGGATTTCTTATTGCTTTGGTTTGTTTCCATTTGATGTTATACACGAAATATAATCGTATTGGTCGATTTGGTTTATTAACATATAACTTGGTGGCATTATATAAGTATAATTTACGAAATTCCGATAATAACATTGAAATTATTGATATAGCTTTATATAGATTTATAGCAGTAGGTACAGGTGTAGTTTGGGGTGTATTAGTAACAAGTTATTGGTGGCCATATGAAGCTCGTGTAGAACTTCGAAAAGGTTTAAGTCAATTATTTATTAATATGGGATGGTTATATAAAAAATTAGTAGCTATTTATTCAGTACCATCAGAAGTTCAAGATGAATCAAATCCTAATCATGTATCAGTAATGATTAAAAATCGATTATCAATTTCTACCAAAGAATTTATGGATATGGAATTACATCTTCAAATTTCATTATTAAGATTACATAGTTTATTAGAACAAACTCCAAATGAACCACGTATGAAAGGTCCATTTCCTGTAAGCACATATCGTCAAATATTAATAGGATGTCAGAATATTTTGGATAAATTATTATCAATGCGAATAGCTGTGACAAAAGAAGAATGGTATTCTGTTGTTAGAAAAGATTTTATTGCTCCTATTGTTGAAGAAAGAAGAGAATTGGTGGGAAATGTATTATTGTATTTTTATGTTCTTGCTGCAGCTTTACGATTGAAAACTCCTTTACCAGCATATTTACCACCAGCAGAAAGAGCTCGTAGACAATTGTTGAAAAAGATTCGTGATTTACCTGTGGTTAGGAAACGAGTTATTGAAGGTAATGATGAACATTATATTGTTTATTACGCTTATGTTTTAGTTATGGAAGATGTTATTAGAGAATTGGACAATTTGGGTATTATTATGCAAGAATTATATGGTTGTATGGGTGGTGAAGAATTCAACGCATTTTTCTTTGATGAAAGTGAAGGAACGAGTAGAGAACAAAATGGTAATGGGGCAGGTGTTGGAAGTAGTGGAAATTTAGCTTCATCTAATGAACAAAGTGATTCAAATATTGTTGGAAATATTGTTGAAAATTTTACTGAAAATATTGCTGAAAATGGTGCTGGGAATGTTGCTGGAAATGTTGCTGGAAATATTGCTGGGAATGTTGCTGGAAATAGCAATGAACCGAAAACTTTGGATTGGTAAACAAGTTATAGTAAAAGGTGAATGTTGGGTTTGATGAACGTTGAGGTATAGTGGAAGATGGATGTTGGGTTATAGTAGAAGATGAACGTTGGGGTATAGTGGAAGATGGATGTTGGGTTATAGTAAAGAATGGATGTTGAGTTATAGTAAAAGATGTATAAGAGATGAAAGATTGGCTATAGTAGAAAATGGAAGTTGGTAGAATACATTGTTAACAGAAAATTTAAATTGTGATAACGTGTATATTTATTCTAAGAGTTTTAAAAAACAAAAAAAATTTTATATAATTTAGGTTATTATGTATATATGTATGACCATGAAATACTTTACGACGTACATACGTACGTGTTTTTGTAGTTGAATGTATCTGTATATATTATGTCATTAAATAATCGTATATTGAGTAAATTTTATTAGCTCAATTATATAGATTCAATAAGTTCATGCTAAGTCGACTTATAGGATCGACTCTAGTAAACTTTTTAACAACCCTACTTTTCGTTATCCGGTTAAGAAACGTATAGAGCACAGGGAATATGAGACTGTTATTACAACTTGTGTTAACAATAACTTTTCTAAAATAAACAAAGAAAGATACGAATATGTATATACGTTTTTTTTAAGGAAAAATTTAAAGGTATAAATAACGATAATAAACTTTTAACTTTCTTTAGTCAGATCAAATAAATATTTTTTTAGGTCAAGAAATCCTAGTATATGTATAAACAAAGTAAAAAATCGCGTAACGGTATTTCTAAGATCGTACATAATCAAAACAAACTTGATCTGTGCTTTATCATGACAACATGGGAAACTTGCCAAATACTTTAAAATCATGAAGTCTAGGCACTATTGAGTTTTTGAATGCCGTCGAACCCAAGAAGACTGTGAAGTGAATAAACAAATGGAGCATTTGTTTTACTTAGAAATCTAGAATATATATAGCAGGCAATGAAGATGAGAAAGCCGTGGTTCAGTATTACTTATGCTAATAAGTCCGGCTGGATACTACCTTGAAATCATTTTAATCAATGATTCAAGAAACTCTACTGGCAAATAGTCTAACAGCTACGAAATTAAAAATAAAATGAAACTTATTAACACTAATCAGAACAAGAGGGCAATGCAAATTTCATCCAGTATTCTACGTGTCTCTCTTAAAAACCTACCAGAAAAATGAATTTGAAGACAAAGCAATACCCACTACCAGTAATCATAGATCCAGCAGTTAAAGAAGAGTATGAAGTAGAAGCGGTCTTGAACAAAAGAAAGTACTAAGAGATGTAATAATCATTTACACATTTTACATCTAGCAATCTAAACGAGGCCTTTGGCATCTCCTGGCAAAGTTTAGGTCATGGGTAATTAACCCGTCTTAATTTTTTTTATAAGAATATGTAATGTGTTTGTAAAATTTAATGTAATCATATATCATGACCAATAAAAAAACAGGCAAGACCTCGCTTTCAAAAAAAGAAATAAGATCATGCGTATCAAGTTAATTTCTTGGTTTTCATGCATATAAATTTTAAAAGACCAGGCTATCTTTTTTTTCAAAAAAGTATAAATATATATAATTTTATAAAACTTTTTAGTAATTTGACCCATGTAAAAATCTGCCACACAGCTTGGTACTTGTTCTTTAGCGAATAAATTTTCAAATCCATGTGTAAATGTCTCTCATATCTTCATTCTGTTCATGAATTTTGCCATAGATTTAATACGATCATAGAAGTATTATTCTGGGATTTTTTTGGAATAATTCGACATACTCATTACATGATCACAGAGTAGAAATCTGACAAATTTTCTAATTATATATAGATATATATATTTATTACTGTATATTTAATCTTTTCATATAAAGGTATTATAATAAACCTTAATGATAAAACATCTGATTGGGACGGACTTATTTGAACTATTAACTATACGTAATAAGTTCAGGAAGACAGTACAGTATATCTTAACTATATGTATAAATACAGGAATATATTAACTCTACGCAATAAGTTCAAGACCGTCTATTGGATCTTAGGTAGATCTTAGGATCCCTTGCAAACATGCGGATCGCGTGCGATCTGATATCTCGTTTAATCTTAATCTCGATCGCCTTGTTTTGTTTGTGATTAGAGCAGGAGTTGTAACACGTGGTATAACCCTTAACCAGTTCTCTGTTCTTTGATCTATTTACATGCATTTTTGATTTATATAGTCTGCATGACCCTATATCATACATGGAGTGCGCTTTTATTTTAGAGGCACATGTTAGCTCTTTAGGGGCCGTTATTTCATATTTCTTTTAAACCTTAAGGATATAAAATACTTATTTATTTATTTATTTTTCAGAATTTAATAACAATTAAAATGATTAGAAATTTCATCTATGATGACATTGCCATTAATCTTTTAAATACAAGAAAAATCAAACTTGTCAACAGTTTTAAGAAAAAAAAAATCGAGATTTAAAGATTATGTACATGTAATATTCTTATTATAAAAATTAATTTTTATAACTTATAGCAATTTTTTCGTTGGAATATGTATTGTGTCAGTTAAAAAAGGTAACGATTTTATATACGTTGACCTAAGAAATTTCTTAATTCTGGTTAAAATTTGCATAATTCAATTTCAGCATTAGTTGTCACAATTTTATCGATTGTCTATTATAGTATTATTATAGTATAATAATTAACAAAGTTCTCATTATTAACGAATCATAAACATTTGAAATTCCTTTTTTTTCTAATAATAGTGATTCTAATGAAATTAAGGTTAAACATTTATTAATTTGGATAATTATAAATTAAAGAAATTAGGGGTATTGTTTTTTTTTTGACAAATCGCTTATTATTGAAGAAGAGAAGACAACTTTGAATATCCATAATTTCATCGTTGTCGTCATAGGATGCTTATTATTATCATTAATAACTAAAATAATGAAAACTAAATAATGAATGTTACGCAATTAACGGTTTAACGTCAATATATTTAAAGTTCGTGGTAGTATGAATAAAAAATTTGGTTTTTAAAAAATAACTTTAACCATATTGATAATGTACATGGAACCCTTATTATACAGTAGAAGCATTATTCGATTACTATATACGTAATGACATAAATGAAGAATCTTAAAGCAAGTCTCATGCTTCAAATCATGCTTTCTGAAGGAAATCATTTGCATGCTAGTTACTCCTTATTTCTGATTGGATATCGATTGTGAGTATCTGGTAAAAAGTTCTCTTAATAGACTCCCAAGGGGTAAAAGATTATAGTTAGGAGTATTTTAAGTATCATTGGTGTAGTTTAAACTTATAATACAGTAATAACAAGGTTTTTATACAATATATATAGATATAATTTTAATATTTGATATGCTTCCCTCGAAAAATAAATAAAACATCCTTCAATATTTCTGAATTTCTTTTTTTGGCCTTTTTTTTCTTAAGCACAAAACCTATAATTGTTAATCGTAGAAAATTTTTATAAATATTATAAATATAATAAATTGTACAAATCATTTGATTATATTAATCGCGTGTGAAAAGTAATGAAAAATAATTAAATATATATATATGTATATATATTTTATGCAAAACATTTTATTCATTTAGCTTGCGATCCACTTGATTTTTTTTCATCGCTTTTTTTTTACAACTCAATGTTTTTATGTTGAAACCATAATGCTTTCGAAAACTAGTTGCCAGCAGAGTGCTCAAAATAATATTTTCATTACCCAATTACCGGTTAACCAAATTAACTTAACTAACCCAATTAACTTAATTAACCCAACTAATCCGATTAACCCAATTAATCCAACCAAATTAATGTCATCTATTTCACCTAATTTGGATACAGATCAATCTTCTAGTGCTTCGAATCTTAGATATTTGAAAAGATTTAGGCGTTTAGATACAATTAATGAATCATCAGGTCTATATTTCTTAAAAGAGAGTTGTTAAACCAACTAAGTAATGTATTTTACCGACATTTTAAGTTACTAAATGATTTCAATTACTAATGTAATAGATATGTCACCACATTTTATTGGATCATCATCATCAATTGCTCTTGGAAATCACTTTAACTTTAGTAATAACGGGTCTCAATATTTTCAATCATCAACCGTCAACAAGACATTGTATTCTTCATTATCATCCTTCAATAACTCTAATAATTATTTTGAAACGAGAGAAGCACGTTCTGGTGTAAATAAAATGAGTAAAAAAACTTTCATTATGAGAAATTCTATCGATAAGGTATACACTAAAAAGTAAAAATCTATCATCATGTGCACTCTCTAAACAATATTTATCTTTTAATATAAATTTTCTGTAATAAATAAATATAACAGGTGTCTGTAATTCCACGATTTTATTTTCCGGTTATATCAAAAATCCAAGAAAATCGACTTGAATCTGCCTTGGTAATGTTGCCGAAAATTTTAATTATTACAATTAATGCATTTTCTCATTCCCCTTTTTCGTTTTTTTTTTTTTAGATCAAAGTTCAAGAAATATTTTTATCTTCAAATAATTGTATAAATAGGTCTCACTTCGGACTAGTCACAAGAGAATGCGGTTTACCTTGTTATATGAGTGAGGCATTATTTTGTAAAATGGTTGAACTTGGAACTGCCAATGAACGTGTAACTTTTGAACAATTTGAGAGGTAATCAGAATACTCTTAAGTCTTCTATTGTCTTTATGTTTCTCGGGTTTTGATTTTTATTTATTTTTTATTTTTTAAGAATATGGAGAATGCTTATAAAATCTTCAAAAGATGAATCATCATTATGTTTTAACATACTACGAAATGATAAAAATTATTTTTTGACCATTGATAATTTTATTGCAGTCTTGAAAGGTATATTTGGAATGACTTTCATTTCTAAAGCAATTATAAATGCTAATGATGATTCACTTTTTCAACTTTTTAACTTTTCAACTTGAAGATATCGTAATGAACCATCCTGGACTAGAATTTTTAAGAAAAAATATCGTCTTTCGAGATCGTTATGGTATGCACGTTTATATTCCATATTATTACATCCCGAATAAAATAATTTAACTCATGTATTTTCATTTTTTTTAAAGTCGAAACTGTAATTTGTCGCCTTTTTTATGATTATAATCGTAATTGGTCCGGTAAAATGACTTACAAAGAATTCAAAAGAATGGATTTACCAGGAATGTTGAGAAAGTTGGAATCTAAAGTTGATCTAAATAATGTAAGCTACGTAAATTTGGTTTGGTTTATCAATTTCAATGTCAATATAGGTATATATATATATATTTTATATATTTTTTGATATTTCATATTATTCATTCTTAGATTTGCAATTACTTTTCGTATAAACATTTTTATGTATTATATTGTAAATTTTGGGAACTTGATAATGATTATGATTTACGTATAAGTAAGAAAGATCTTGTTCAATATTCCGATAATGCATTAACCACAAGAATAGTCGATCGCGTAATACATGGATATGGAAAAATGACTGATTTGTCTCCAAAGGAACATGATCCGAAAAATCCAAAAATGACTTACAGAGATTTTATATGTAATATCAAATATAAATTTACTTCTTTTTTTTTTTGGAAATATTGCTTACTATTACGATTTACGCAATCTACGACACTTATAGGGTTTCTCCTGTCAGAGGTTAATAAATCTACAAACACGTCGATTGAATATTGGTATGTTCTCAAAAACTTTCTTTATAATAAAGTCTCTATGTTTTACTTATTATTATTATTTTGGTATGATTAAGGTTTCGATGTTTAGATTGTGATGGTGATGGCGTATTAAGCGTGTACGAACTTGAATGGTTTTATGAAGAACAATTTGATCGTATGAAACTTTTTGGTTTAGAACCAATAAAATTTAAAGATTGTATTTGTCAAATGTAAGGTTTTTTTTTTTTATAATTTACTATTACTATTACTGTATGCACAAGATTAAATAGTCCGTTCTGTTTAAATTTATAAATAGGTTTGACTTGATCAAACCTTCGAATCCGTACGTAATAACTCTCAAAGACCTTAAACGGTGTAAACAAAATGCTCCCCCGTTTTTTGATATGTTTTTTAATCTTTCTAAATTTATCGCTTACGAACATTATCAACAGCAATTAGATGAAATGAAGTAAGTATTGAAAATTTTTGTTAATATGTTTTTTGTAGTTATGATTTTAACCTTTTTTTTTAATCTATCCATTAATTGTAAGCGAAATTGATGCATATGTTAACATAGAATATAACAAAATGTTACATGCCGAACAAGAAAGACGTAGATCACACGAAAGACTTGAAGCATTGAGTGCAATAAATAAAAATATATCTCATAATATTACTCTTGATAATTTTAAAAGTAATGTTACCGGTAATGAAGTCATTAACGATTCAAATAAACAAATTATTTGTGAAGAGGATTATGATAGTGATGACAAGAATAGTGAAGACGATGATATCGAAGATTGTTAAAAATATATCATGAATCATTTATTATTAAAATTAATAATTTGTTTATATTAATATTTGTAAATTTTAATGTTGAAAATAAAATTTTTCATTTTTAATTAATGTTTGCGTATATTTTAATCGGTTATATTCATCTAATTTTGAAAATTTTTAAATCGTATAAGATTGGCAGAAACTTTGTGTAATCATGTTTAAAGTTGTGAGTGAGTTTTGATGTTTTCGTTTAGGCCGTTTGAAATTATAACGCTCCTTTTTGAAGCTAAGGGCAGTGGAACAAAAATTTAATTTAATCAAACATATTAAGTCAAAAAATCAATCCTATTATTATTGGTTGTAATAACATGTAATTCAAATTGTAATAGATGTTCTGATTTATATATTAGTTTTTTTTAAATATTTCTATAAGGTCTGTTTAATAGACTGTTTATTATTTTCTTTTGATCTTTTATAAGCATGTTATATTTTGCTTTTATACAATCATGTATTTTTTTCTTCTTTTTTTTTGATTGCCAATTCTTGTATAAAATTTTTCACTAAAAAGTTGTATCATATTTTTGTATTCTGTGCCTTTATTAGTCCTTTCTAAACTGGCGATCATATGTAGTGCAACAAAAAAATTTTTACTTAGATCATATTACCTCACGCAATTCCGGGCGTATCGGTTAGTTTTTTTTTATATTATTCACAAATAGTGCCTTTTTCTAATTTTAGAATTTTATTAGCCATCATGAATACCAATGCAAAAATAATCATCTGTGTATCACGAAATACGTGTTGCATTACCGTTACTTTTGCTTGTTTTTAACAAGGATCAGATCACGTGATATGTACAGCATAAATACATTTAAAAACGTAAATCTCATTATCGATTTTGCATTTTATGCAATGCTATAATTTATTGATAATCAAAAAAAAAAGAGCTGAACAATTTTCACTAAATGAGTTCAAGTATTACTTTTGCTTCAAAAAGAGTACACAACAAGGGTACTTATAATATTTTTTTTTCTATGTTTTTTTATAAATTAAAAAAAAGTGGTTAACAAATCACTTGCTTAAAAATTTAGTAAAAGTTGATTATCTAATGAAGTTGGGTGAACCAATTCAAAAAAGAATAATGAACTTTATTATCTTACATTGGTGTTTCATTATTTTTGAAGTGAGGATTCACTTTATGAAAAATAAAAATATAAAAATTTTAATCTTTATTATATGTTATATATTTTGAAACTATAGTTTAGTGTTAGAGATAAAAAAAATCTTATCTAAATAACAGTCATCAAAAAGTGTAGTTCATTTTTGTAAAAAAATATGAAAATTAGATTATTTATGATTGGTCTAAGGTAATCTAATCTAATAAATCTAGATTTCAGATTTTTTAGATAGATGATAAGCAATACTATTAGAAATATTATGAAAAACTATTATATAAAGCTTACTGTAAAATTTGAAGGTGGTTTATTATGATTTGGGGATGTTTTAGTTTTTGTAATATTGGTATCTATTGTAAGATTGACAGTATGATAGATGATAACTTGTATCAATAGATACTTTATAAAGATTTAATATGAATGATTAAGAAACAAGAATTTGATATTAGAAAAGTTATTTTTCAATAAGATAAAGTATCTTGTTATATGACAACCTTGATGGAATATTGGTTTAAAAGAAATAAAATTAAGTTCTTTGATCAGTCTCTCTAATCTCCTAATTTTAACCTGATTGAAAACCTATAAGATAAAATCAATTATCAACTAAAGAATTTCTTTAAATAAATTTCAAGTAAGACAGATCTTTGAAAAAAAATTCATAAAGTCTGACAGGTGATTGATATTAAAACTTATAAAAAATTAATTTATTCAATATCAGAAGGAATTCATATTGTAGTTAGGGCTTGGAGTAGTTATACTTGATAATAAAAATAAAGAGTTTTTAGATAGAATAAAAAAATTTTTTTTTATTTTACTGTTATGTTGCTATAAAAATAAGCAAAAGTAATATAATATGATATTTAAAATAAAGCTTATATCTGTAAAAAAAATTTTTTATTAAATTTTTTTAATTTTTTTATTGATAAAATTGTTGTTATTAGTAAATAAAATAAAAAAAACTAATATACCTAGAATTGTATAAGATAATATAATTTAAGTATATTTTTTTTTGTTATATTACTTATAATTTTTATTTTCTAATTTTTTCTAGTTATTAAACTAGTTTATCTAAAATTTTTTTTTCTTTCTTAAATATGTTTATGCATTTTTTTATTCACATTTTAGCTAATATTTTTTATAGTTTGTTAAATTTGTTTGAGTATACAAACTTATTATTTGTTTTAACAAAAACTAATCTTTTATTGAGTAAATATTATTTAAATTTTTATAAGATACTAGAATTTTTTAATTTTGTTAATTTTATCTTATTTTTTTCTAATCTAAGCATTGATTTATAAATATTATTAATTATTATTTTAATACTTAATTGTTTGTAATATCTATAAAATATAGTTTGAAGATTATATATATATTGTTTATATATACTATTTGACTAATTATTATTTTATATTCAAACAACAGATCATTAATTTTATAATTTTCTTTAATAGTTATTTTTTTAAGTTTGTTATTAAAGTCAAACTTTTAAGAACCTTATTATTTTATGATTTTTTTATAAAGTTATTTATTTTTAAAAATAATTTTTGAACTGTCTTTTTTGTTTTTCTTTTAGCTTATAAACTTTTTTTATTTACTTAAATATTATTTAGTTTAAAAGTTTTTTTTTTGTAATTGTTATTTATTTTTTTATGTGTTTTTTACTTTTTGCTATCTATATTGATTATTAGTAAAAATAATTACTACTTAATATTATTCTTTTTTTTATTAATAAATTTAGATTAAAATTAAAAAGATTATTATTGTTAAGATATATTTAGATTTTAATTATTTTGAAAATTTTTAAATAAAAAATTATAAAAAACTTTATGTAAAAATAAAATTTTTTTTTTGTTCAATTTTATTTATTATTTTAAAAAATTTTATTGTATTCAAGTTTGTAATTATTCTTAATTATTTATTTTAAAATGTTTAATATAAAAAATTTTATTAACTTAAATATTTTAATTATCTTTATTGCTAACTTAAATACTTTTTAGTAAAACTAAATTAAAAGTTTTTGTTTATCTTATAGAACTAACTATAGTTCTTTATTAAAATCTTTAATATCTTTTATTATCATATTAATTAATAATCTGCCAGTTAACAGATGCATGATCATAATGTATAGTAATATAATACAAATTATTTATAAAAATTAAAAGTTTATAAAATATAATATACATATGCTAAAATATGTTTTTATAAAAAAAAACTTTCTTCTGTAAATTACAAAATACTAAGTAAACAAATAATTAGCAAAACATATATATAGAAAATTTATGAAGTAATTAAATTTTTAGTGACTAATAGCTGCCTCTGATCTTGGGCTTACAGTTAACAGACAAGATAAACCAGAAAACTTAGACAAGATTAAAAGAAAACAAAGTAGAACCAACAGCACTTCAACAAACAAAGAAAGTCAATATAGGCCTATAGGCCTCTTATTCATATTCTTTTTAAGATTATACTAAAATTACAGATGAAAAAACAAACTACAAGTTCATGCAACAACAGCTCTTTGAAAGATAAAATCAGTACCCAAAAAGACTTCATCTACTTTGATGCACTAGTAAAAAAATGACAAACTTTTTTCTAAGACCTTAAAGCAATGCAAAAAGTAGGCAATCCAGCTCATTTCTGTCAAATTCAATCATGATATTATTATATGCAAACAATAACAACAACAAATTTATACAAACCAGTTTTGATAATACACCAACAACATTAACCAATCTTATATCTCTAATAAAACCTATTTTAGAAAACCTCAATGCTAATGATAGTCTAAACCAGACAAACAACCAATATAGTATTTTAAATAATAAAGAATATACAAATATAGACAATAATCACATGGATACAGAATCTGTTGCAACTATAGACAGCAATTCAGAAGAACACAAACTACTTATTTACAGTCAAATAATCAAAAAAAAATATTCTTATGTCTAATAAAATGCAAACTTAGATAAAGATAGACTACATTTAAGAATAGATAAACAGTATATGTGACACATTACAAAATAGAATTATTTAACCTTTTGACAAAGATGCTTGGAGATATGATGAAATTATTACTGCACTTAAAACAAAAAAAAGAATTTTCAACTTTATAGTACACAAGTTGCAAACCAAACTAACTAACTTCTCTCTTTATTCTGCAATCAAAGCAAAATTTAAATATTAGAATCATTCCTTCTTTTTTATATTTAAAAGAAATAAATAACCCATACCTTTTCACCAAACCATATATAAAAACCTGTTTAAAGAAACAATTAAAAATTATAAAAATCAGCATGAAATCACAATTATAACAAAAGCAATTAGAAATACTATACACATCAAGCTTAGACAGAAAATTATGATCAACTACCTTCCTAATACAAACTTTACAACAAACATAACCAGGACTATATGTCACTTAATTAAATATTATAAAGACTTTACTAAAGATGAAACTTCAATTAAATTTAAAGAAATACTGTTACAGGGTTGTAGCCTTCTCGGTACAATACAACCAAGTAACAAGGTTACCCAGTACAGTGATTGACTATTGCAAATATATACGGGGTGGAAGTGTAGTAGTTCACTTTACTACACTGCAGCAGGCAAACGGTTCAAGATAGTAACAGTATATAGATTAGCTTTTTATTAAACAAACACACAGTGACAACCTTGCCTGTAGGAATTACCCTAG